TAAAATGAATTTAAAAAAAATTAAAATATATAATTAAATTTATTTGTGTTAAATAAAATAGCTTAAAACTGGAAATAAATCAGTCAAAAACAAAAATAAACAGCTTGAATTATTTGGCTTACATTTAAGTTGCAGTGTCACAATGCAGTCGGGTTTTGTGGCAATTTGCGAACTATAATGTCAGTTAAATGTATTTTGTTTTTAATTATAGGAACAATTTTGCATCTGTATTATTTCCACAATTCATGTTTTTCTAATACAGGTTTGCCTTTTTCTACTTTGGCCCTCTTCACATGTGTTTTCAGTTGGGATATCACAAGCTCAGTCACACACACACACACACACACACACACACACACAGGTCACCTTGTGTTTACATTATTTGGGTAAACTGACACTATCTACAATCTGCTCCCTCATTGAACAGCTGACGCAGAGACCAAACTAACCTCAGCCTGATTTTCTAACCGTAAAGGAATCCTCAGATAGATCATTAGGAGCCCAGATATGGATCTAAAAAGCATCGGCCTGACCTGTAGTCATGACTTCTGTTTCCATTTGGGAGCTATGGCATCATAGCCCAGGGGAAATGGCAGCAGTGGTAGAAGCGGTGGGGTGGAGGGTATATTAAGACAGATGTAAGAGCTCCTATTTGTTGAGCAGCCATGTTGTTTTGGTTGCGGCTGCGTCAGCGATTGGCTGCGCCACCGTGTTGGAGCCTGTGATTGAAAATAAAGAGAGAAAAATAGACTCGCTGACTGATGAACGCTCAGTGGGACTGATCATACGGCACACTGAGGGAGGCTCTGCGGGGTACTCATGTGGTCCAAATGTCTTAATGAGCTTCCTCAGCAGCTTAGGCCAGCACAATCCAGAGGGGTCCCTGCAGAAACTACACTGAAAATACCTGCAGTTCCCCTCAGGTCTACAGGGTTCTTTAGTGTCTTTCACCTTGTTGTTTTGGTTCACTCTAATCACAGGCATTTATTGTGGCAGCTGATTTAAACAACAGAGTTGGAGACTAGCTGGGGAATGTAAGCCCTGTTTCCACCAAGCAGTTCAGTACGCTTTTTGTCTTTCCATTACCACTGTGAAAAGTTGTGGATGGTACCAATGGAACCGTTCTGTACCGTCCCCATGTTTGGTCCCCCCTCTGTTGGGGTACCTAGCACACAGATCTGGTACTAAAAGGTGGAGCTGTGAACACTGCAGTCTGATTGGTCAGTAGAGGACGGTCACTCTGCTCAGGGCTGTAGCCTCGCATCACCAGGCTCTTAGAGCGAAGAGCCTGGTGTCTATTCACTCTGAATTTTGTCTGGATTTTGGTTCCGGTCTAGGGAGTGGATGCGGTATTCACCAAATTCACCAAACTAAAAGTGTTCACCATAGTAAAACTTTAAATTCTGGCGCACCATTGATTTGGGGTGATGAGGGGTGTAAGAAAATCGATTAACTTAATGGCATGGGGATTTTCTTGTAAATTATATTCTTTAAATTAAAAGTTTCACCGCATTTTTATTAGCTTGGTGCTTTTATTTTTACGGAAAGGCACATCCATCGAATTCCGGATCCTGTCTCACTCGCCCTGGTTCCGTTTCCTTACCAAAACGGCCACTAACGGCCCCAGACTATCAGGGCTGAGTTGTGACTGGTTCTGAGGCTCATGTAACCACTGTTCACACTGTGGAGAGTTTTATTAGTAAACTATAACTATAAAATGAAAAGATGTTTTGCTGCCTCTCACAGCAGCTGGAGTCTGAGAAAAATATCTTAATTCAACTTTGACCATTACTTTAGTTTTTATATGACATACACTTTTAGTAATGAGTGGATCTTCAAGTGTTTAAATAAATATATTAATTGCGACTGGGTTATGTGAACTGCATATATTCGAATTCTCACTTGGAAGAAAAAGAAAGTGTGGAGCGTTGTTCCTGTGGGCTACAGCAGCACTAAACCCCTGAGCTTGCCTGAAAAGGACTAAATGCACAAAGCTGCTATTTTTAAATATCCCATGGAGAGAGACTCTCACTGCAGCCTGTTTTATTTTGTTCTGAAAATGTTGGCATGCAGCCTCGTTCTGTGGACGATAAACGAGGCGCAGACTTCCATCTGAGTGTTGGACGGAGCAGTGAGTGGCTACTACTGGCCCACATTGAAGAGTACTGTTTGCCATGGAAACGCTAGGGTCTAGGTACCATGTCTGGAGGGTTACTGTTGATTCCAACGGCACCATTCCCAAAGTGTTTGGTGGAAACGGGGCTTTACACGAGAATTTAGCAGCTAGACATTTTTTCTCAGGAGCTGGTGGAGACCAAAATTAGAGCTAAAAGAGAGTGACGATTGGACTGTGTTTGATATTGCATACTAACCTACTATTCATACTATGTATGACATCAAATTGAGGATGTAGTGCATTCCAACTGCATTGTGTGTGGATTTTGTATACACTGCAGCGTAAGCATCCTGCACATACTAGAGTGCCCCACAA